TAAACATATAAATAAATATATAAACATATAAATAATATGATAGAAAAGAGATTCAAATGTAAATACTTTGATTTATATTACTGTCAGTGTAATAACAAGTAGAAATACATTTACTTGAGTTTTGTTCTTGAGTTGAGTTTTGAGATATTTGTATTTTTTATTTTATTCTGATTTATACTTTTATCTCTGGATACTTTTCTGTATTCAGATTAATGATAAAAAAATATAATCAGCACTAAATTATGATATTATTTATATCAAACTACCCAGCAGTATATATATTTATATAGTAATAATACAGTAATTATGACATAATATTACATAACAATACAGTAATATAATACATATTATTCTGCATAATTAGTACTTTAACTTTAAGTATATTTTGAATGCAGGACTTCTTCAACAAACGGTAGGAAGTGACACGTTTCCTGTCTTCACGGTCGTATGCAGAGGACAGGAAGAAGAGAAAGAAAGAAAGAAAGAAAGAAAGAAAGAAAGAAAGAAAGAAAGAAAGAAAGATAGAGTGAACAGAAGAGAAGGATAACTGATCACATCTGCTGAAAGTATTGAACCTGTACAACTATAATAGTGTCCAGTAATAATAATAATATACTAAAATATATACTTAATAAATAAATAATAGAAAAAAGTTCTATTTCATTTGTTTTAAATAATAAATTAACACAAATTAAAAAACACAACCAGAATAAATAAATAAAAGTTAAATGTGTCGCTGTGATAAGTTGTAGTTCCTGTTCCGGACTGTGAGTGGCAGCAGAGCGCCGCAGAGCCTCGACACTACCGGAAACAACAGGAGAAGAAGAAACTCCCAAACAAACCCACGTGTTTGAAAACAAACATTACCGGATAAAACGGCTGTTTTTAGGAGAAAATGGACGACGAGCACACGGTAATTAACGCTGCACATGTCTTTAATAAAAGACTAAAGTTAGCTACGTTAGCTTCACACCAAACTACGTTTAATAAACTCAAATTTAGCGATTAAACAAATTATAATGAACATTTAACACAATTTATACGAGTCAGTTCAACAAACAGCGAGTGTTTTATGTGACATAAAGCTAAAACGTGTTTTTATACATCATTCAGGACTTTAATCTGATGTTTGTGGACTCGAGCTAAAAGTTAATTTAGTCAATTTAAAATATTTAAATAGATTTAAATTGTCCCACAAACAGCAGTTTGTTTGCCGAAGTTACTAAGTTATAAAGTTGTGGAAAGCTCTTTAAGACTTCTTTAAACTTTATTCGTAGTTTCTATCACGGAATAAAATATTGATTATTAATGTTATTAATGAAGTCTTGGCGAGGTGTGTAATAAGGAGAAATAGTTACGTTTGTCTTTTATATTTTAAGTTACAACAAAAATATGATTTTATTTGTCTGAACGTGCAGTTGTGGATGTTTTAACATATATAATAATAATAATAATAATAATATATTAACAGTAGTTCTTGTTCTCTCCTTGTCTTAATGACTCAAATTGTTTAATTGTATGTGTGTGTGTGTGTGTGTGTGTGTGTGTGTGTGTAGGCCTGGTACAAGGAGCCCTGTGCTCAGTGTTCAGCGGTGGATTGGGGAGTTTCAGATGAGGGTCGTTTCTACTGCAGATCCTGTCACACTGTCATCGAGGTAAACAACAACAACAACAACAACAACAGCTGATAGATGTGAGTGTGAACGTGTTGTAATATCTGTTTAATCGTCCTCAGAGAACCAAAGAGGTGGTGGACTCCACCTTCACTCCCGGCTCCAACAGAGTCTCCACCATCGGCAGAGGACCCAGAAACAAGAGGACGGGTCGGTGGTTCTGAGTCTTTACACACAAACTGAACTGAACTGGGTTCAAAACATAAACAGTTTAAAGTTTAAAAGAAGATTATATATAAACTTTACATCCGTTGTGTTAAATAAAACGTGTTCCTGGTGTTTTCCAGAGGGTGGTCGTCAGTGGAGGATCTGTGAGGGTTTCCAGTTCATCCTGAGGAACCAGGCCGACGCTCTGCTCCGACTGGGAGTCAGTCCCAACTTTAAGGTCCGTGTTTACACCTTTTCAATGAGACCCGCAGTTTAGAGCGGGAACGTCTCAATGGGAAACGGATCTTTAATGTTTCAGGACGCGGCGCTGTGCGAGCTGTGGAGACTCTACCTGCAGAAGAGTCGACAGGCCTACACACACAACCCAGTGAGGACCTGCAGGTTGAAAGTGGTGAGTTCACTCAGACCACCGTTTCTTTCACGAGCTCCTCGATACAAATACTGACTGAAGTTAAAGAACCTGAGAAGAGTTCGATAAATTAAGAACGTTTTATCACACGTCAGAAACATTTATTAACTCATTAACTGAAACGCTGTTAAACGATTAAATGTTGTTGTTGTCTCTCAGCGAGGTCCCGACTCGGACTCGGAGAGTGCAGCCGAGTCGTCCGTCATGTCGGCCAGTGAGACGGACGGAGAGACGAACCCGCCCAGCACCATCGGATCAACTGCAGGTAGAATCATTCAGGGGACGCTGGCAAGAAATGTTACATAATCAAATAACTCAGTGAAGAATTTCATGGAAACAAACTTTGATGCAGTTTGAAAACCACAATAATATTCTGTTGTTTTAAAATATAATTAATAATCCCGGTTAGGATTCCTTCAGTGTTCATGGTTCAGGAGGTTTCTACCGGGAGCCCTAAATTAATCCACAGAGGTCTCCTCCTCTCCAAAAACAAACAGACCTGCTGATTAAAACCACTTAAACACACTGAATAAAGCAGTTTCCACCTAACAATCACTGCTTCCTCCCCACGCTGTTGACAGACAAAGGACGTCCCGGAGGCTGCGAGCCGAGCTGCTGCTAACTTAGCTCAGCTTGTTCTCTGATAACTTAAGATCCAGAGTCCGATGAAATAAAATCCTTCATCCGGTTCAAAATCTAGAGTTAAAAAGCACCAAGATCTAAACAGTGGATGGTAAAATGTGGCTTCAGACTGATAAACAGTCAAATGTATGACAGCTTCTGGCAGACAACCACCAACAGCTGACGCAGGCAACAAAGGGGGATAGACGCTCTTTTACCTCCAGCAGAGAGCTCCCAGTGATTGGTCGCAGTGTTCGGGCTCGGTGGACGCCGGTCAGTTACCTGTCGCCCCGGCTGAGAAGACCCGTCGGTCTGATGAAGCATGAAGAAGACTTTGGCTCTGATCCACCTCCGCTCTGACCTGGAGCCGCGAGCCGCTGACGCTCAGCGACCTGCTCAGGTAACGACTCACCCTGGATGTTCAACGCTTTCCAGCTGCCTTGTGGATGAATTCCCGCTGCGCCAGTCGAGGTCCCTGGAAGGGTCCTGAAGGTCCTGGAAGGTCCTGGAAGAGTTAGTGGATGTGTTTTTGTTTCAGGTTGGTGAACGAAGGTCACGTCCCGTACTTGAACGCTTACGAGGAACTTCCTGATGAGATGAAGCTCGAGGGCAAAGACGCTCTCATCTTCAGAGTGGAGGTCAGAATCCATCCGCTATAAATCACATTTTACATTCAGCAGCAACGTTTACTGAAGTTTTGTTGTTTTGTTGTTTCCCGTCAGAGCGTCCCGTCACACCAGCTGGTTCATAAGGAGGCTCAGTCTCTGGTTCTGTTACTGCAGCTTCCTGCTTTTCCTCCAATCAGCCGCCAGACTCTGCTGCACCCAGCTCTGCTCAGCCTGCGCTACCTGACCGACGCCAACCTGCCCGGTAACGCAGCGCCAACAGTGCTACTGGTACCGCCTGCTGACACACTGCTAACACTAACACTACGACTGTTCTCTGTCCCCAGACGAACTCCACCCGTGGGTCTGCACGGTGATGGAGCACGCTGGTATGGCGGATCAAACGCTCCACACGTTTGACCGTTTGTCTCATCCCGTCCTGCCGCTGTACGACGTCCAGGCCGCCGCCCTCATCATCGTCACCATGAAGCTGATCTTCGGCCTGGACGACCGCACTGAATGGTAGCCGGGACAGTTCTCATGTTTTTAGGAATTTGGATTTTAAGCTGAATGTAAAATGTCATTTTGGTTCTTTCAGGGATTTATCCAATCAGACAGGTGACCTGGACGACGCAGGTGAGTTCTTCACCTCCGTCCTAAGCTGTTGTTGTCCAGCTGATGGAATTAATTTCTTCAATGATGGAACTTGAATCTGTTAAATCCTGTAACATCCAGTTTAATAATGAAGCCGACAGACTCCCACCGTTAGTTCGTCCATCAGAGACTTTCCTTACGATGTTTCGTGTCGACTGAACCGACAGGAAACCTGTTCAACCTGAGGAGGTGGTACCGGCTGCTGCAGGCCGCTCTGACCAGAGCTCAGCAGAGGAGAGACCACGACGTCGCCAGGTCAGATATAAACCACCTCCAGAGTCTGAGATAAAGAACTGATGAGCTGCAGCCACATTAATGTAGTCGGTCACTGAAACTGCAGCTTTTAGGACCGTTTGTCCAGAAAAACGTATATATAATAAATGATTTATTAAAACGAGCTGGAACCCGCCAGACTGTTAAAATCTTTTTATTTGACTTATTTGTTGAAAACACTAAATTGATTTAAAGGTTTGGAAACTAATATACAGTTTTTATTATTATTTCTGTCGTCCACAGGAAACAGTGGGTAGCCAAGAATCCTCTTTGCTCGAGCAAGAGGGATAAAAGAGTCGTGGTGAAAAGAAAAAGTAAGAATCTGATACAGCGGCTGTAGACCTGGACCTGGACCTGGACCTGGATCTGAGACTGAAGCAGCTGCTGTGTTTGTGTGTCACTGCAGGAATAGCGGAGCAGGTGCAGATCTGCTTCCAGAAGCTGTCCCGTGACCTGGCGGGTGGCGAGCGCGGCGATCCGTCCAGCTTCAGGTTCTGTTGGGGGGACGAGGACGGAGCCGACGGTCCCAGTCTGCACCACAAGAAGCTGAGTGGAGTTCTGACCCTGCAGCACAACGTCCTGACCCCCTCTAACTCCACATACTGGCACCCAGGACTCAGAGCCTGCAACCCCCGGTTTGTTTGGTTGTTTGATTTTTTAGACCGGCACCAGTTTCAGAGATTTCCAACATATGGAGGCCGATTATAGTGAATTTAGCTGCTTTTATAAACAAATAACTTTATAGACTCAACACAAACAAGCTCATTAAAATACAGTTTTCAGTCAAAGTGAAATCGATCAACAGAATTTAAATGTATTGATCACTTTGAGATCCTCCTGAGTTCTTCCTCTCCTCCTCTTCAGGACGTGTCGCAGTCATTACTCGGACGTGGAGGCGACGCTGCCTCGGACCTTCGTCTGGCTGCTGCAGCTCTTCTGCTTCCTGCTGGACGTGAAGCCGGCGTTCCTGTACGAGGAGGTGCTGAAGGTGGAGAGACGAGTCATCAACAGCACAGCGGCGAGGAGCCCGGGGGGGGCGACCAGGACCAGGGCTCAGCGCAGGACGCCACAGAGAGGACAGGAAACCAGATGAAAACCTGCAGCTGCTCGTTTGTTGGAGCTCAGAAATAATCATTTTATATCGTCGGTGCATTCAAGGACGCTTGGAAATCAAAGTTGTAAGAGTTGATTGATCCTCAGACCCAGAGGACAAACAGTAAGCAAACATTGTGTTTAAACTCTGTAAAGTGAACGTCACAGGTTTGATTTCAGAAGCAACCGGAGCCTGAAGGACACATTTCACTTTCTTTTGTCTCTGTGTTAATTTATCTCTTCGTATGTGACTAAATAAATTGTTGTTGTGTCTTTTTATATCTGAAATCCCTTTTTTCTCTTCCTGTTAAATGTAAGAAATGAGAGGAACCTCGAAGACTTCCACAGGAGGATCTTTTATAGGAATCAACTTCCATAAAACTCAACAGAAAAACAAATCTGGATCATATTTTATTGAGAATATTGTTTAGTTTCCCTCTGGCTGCTCTGCCTCTGCTGACAATTAACAGAAAAACACGACAAAAAAGTCTAAAAAAATTACGGTTTTACGAGTTTTTGTTATTTCACAGTATTTTCTGACGCCCCGGCTGCAGCAATATTACCGTTGTTTAACAGTGTGTGATGGTGATTTAAAATCAGCTCAGTGAGGCTTTAAGGCTTTAAACAGATGAAAGAGGAGGAGCTGCTGCTGTTTCTCATGAATTCTACAGAAAACCTCAAACCAGGAAGAAAAGAAATCCTTAAGTGTACGACGGTAAATTCAATATATCAACAATTAAACATTAATGATGAGCACTCAATAAATATATAACAGATACAAAAGAACAACAAAGTGATTCAATGTCTGAATTTAAATTTTTTTGTAACTTGATGTAATTTCTCTAAATGAAGAACAGGAAGCAACAGATATTTAGTTTTTAGGTTAAAAAGGAAGCACAAAGATCTAATTTCTAATAATTGATTAAGAAATCATTTTAAAGAGACAAACTGAGATTATACATCAGAACAGAGCTGATAATAAATTCATCAGCTGAAATGTGAATAAAACATTTTTCTTTGCTTTGCTGTGAAAATCATCCTGTAAATGTGCTGCAAATATCACAAAATCTTCTTAATATGAACAGTTTCCTGGCTGATTACAGTTGGTTGTATTTATTATTATATATATTTTTCCTGCCGGTTTGTCTTTGTTTTGCAGCTGAAGACAAAGAAACCTGAGCGAGCTGCAGTGGCAGACAGTGATCAGCAGGGGGCGACACACACAGACACAAAGCTCCCATTCATTCATACTGAAAGAGACGCTGCAGTGAAACAACAACAGGTATAAACATACAGAAAAATAGAAGATGATTATTTATTGGTATTAAGCTGTGAAACGTTTCTGACAATCCTTCAACAGAAAGTGAAGAACATTTAATAGAAAGTGAAATAATGAGCAATAAAACATTACATTGACTTCAGTCTCACTTACATCTCATTGATAATTTACATTTAATTTAAAGGATATATATAAAATTAACTTTCCCTGACAGACCAAATGATAGGTGCCAGACTCTGTTAACAAAACCAGTAATTTTACAGATAATCATTAAAAAACACTTCAAACTGCACAGAAACAAAATAAAACAAACAAAAACTGTCTTTGTTAGTCTTTCCAGATGTCAGATATTTAAATAAATCCTTAATTTACAGAGTTGGAAGAGAAAATAGCAACGAAACTGGCTGCTACAGCTGCTATGTAACGTTAACTAACAGTAGTTGTTGTTTGTTCCACTAACAGTTGTTGTTTGTTCCACTGACAGTAGTTGTTGTTTGTTCCACTAACAGTAGTTGTTGTTTGTTCCACTAACAGTAGTTGTTGTTTGTTCCACTAACAGTATTTGTTGT